AGATATATTTTTCACCCTGTGGACACATTATTCTTCCTGTTCCTCCCCGTGTGTGATGATGTAACACAGAGATTTATAATCTAAGTTTCCTGTTGCGTCGACGTTGGATGACTGGAACATCTGCTTCACCTGCCGATGAGAGGAGCAGCGTTGTGACCACAGAAACACCCACCAACAACAGGTGAGCGACCACTTTAACCGCCTGAGACGGGATGTAAAGTTTCTCTATTCACCACAGGTAATCTCATTTTACTGGGTTCTGTTCATTGTTGAGCTCTAAGACTCTGTTTCTACAGTTCTCTACAAATGTCAGTCAGTATTTGAACAAGAAAACAGCAAAACACAGCACTGAACTCCAGACAAATGACCACCGCCCACTGGTAGAGCCAGTCATTTTAAGAGGTTTGGACTTTTAGACTGATAAACCTGTCGATTCTTTACCTCCTCAGACGTAAACCTGTCTGCTTGTGTCATCAGTAATTTCTGTAACCTGCCAGAACAGAAACAGAAGTGTTAGTTTTGTCCTGCAGCAAAGTGACACGTCTAAACGTTTCAAGCAGCGGGGGCCTTACTCGTGTTTGTGGATGAAGCCTTTGGCATCAGGATCGAACATTTTGAAGGCGTTTAAGATGGGTCTGTGCCTGCACACGTAAACCAGACGAAACACAACACAGGACAACGTCTGTTTCAGCTCAAAGTAAACCACATTCAGACTGTAAATCTGTAAATGTGAAAGTGGTTCAGCTTAGAAGGGTTCGTCCCTCAGAGTACACAGCCGGTGGGTCTGTACGTGCTGACGTAGCACAAATCCCACCAGTGAAGGTGATGTCCTCACTGTAATGTGTGTGAGTCCAGGTTCAGCTTATCGCCCCCCAGTGAGCCTCACCACTGCACTGGGGGGGTTCCTCCTCAGGAAAATGTCAACAACATACATACTCAGCGGCTGCTCCTTTACCCTGTGTGACTGGGTGGGGGGGGCTCACCGTGCAGCTTCTCTCCAAACAGTTTGAGGAACATGGTGAAGTTGATGGGACCAGTGGCTTCTCTCAGCATGTCTTCCAGTTCATTGTCCTTCACATTGAATTTACCTGAGGACACAAGCAGACGAGCGTCGACACA